ATAGTAATCTTAGTCTTAACTTACCTCCAGTATGTTAACTTTGCTCCCCTTCCCTGAAACAATTTGGCTTACTTATGTTACTTTACTACATTGGTAGTGAATTGCACTTATTTCTGGTGATAATAATACTATTCTAATTTATAGCAATTTACAGATAGACTGTAACCAAGATTGACTTCTTGCCAGCCCAATAAACTGACAGATTTTCTGGGATGTCACTGCAGGACTCCCAGACTGCTTCACTGCAATGCTGCCTTCAGGACACTCTTCCCAGACTGTTTCACTGTAATGTTCACTGCAGGCCACTCTTCCCAGTCAAAGACTCCAATATCCAAGGCAGCGAAAAGGGATCACAGTTATTGACAGAAGTGTGTGGTGACATTGATCTAAATAACATGAAGATTGAGTATAAAATACAGTAGAATTCTATAGTGCTCAGGATCAGAGCATAAATCACTAAAGGTGGCAGGACAGGAAGAGAGAGATTATCCTAGGCTTCATAAATAGCAGCATAGAGTACAAGAGCAGGGAAGTTACGAGAATGTATATCAGACACTGGTTAAAAATCAACTGGTGTACTGTGTACAGTTTTGAGCACCACAACGACGGTGGAAGGCTGCAAATGCATTTCAGAGCATGCAGAAGATGTTTTTGAGATCTATGGCTTACAAAGGAAATAAGAGATAATATCCGATCCAAGGAAGAAGCATACAGATTGGCCAAGTAAAATAATAAATCTGAAGATTGGGAGCAGTTTTGAATTCAGCAAAGAAGGACCAAGGGATTGATTGAGAAGGGGAAAATAGAGTACGAAAGTAAGCTTGCAGGGAACATAAAGACTGACACTGAGTTTCTATAGGTACGTGATGAGAAAGAGATTGGGAAAGACAAACGTTGGTCCCCTACAAACAGAACCAGGCGAATGTACAATAGGGGACAAAGAAATGGCTGAGGAACTGAATTCATACTTTGATTCTGTCTTCACAAAAGAGGATACAGATGAAACACCAGAATTGTTGGAGGATGCAAGATTTAATGAGAGGGAAGAACTGAGGGAAATCAATATTAATAGAGAAATGGTGTTTGAAAAATTGTTAGGATTGAAGGCTGATAAATCCGCAGGGCCTGACAAACTACATCACAGAGTAGTTAAGGAAGTAGCTCTAGAAATGGCGGATGCATTGGTGGTCATCTTCCAGGATTCAGGAAAAGTCCCTGCAGATTGGAGGGTGGCTTATGTCACTCCAATATTCAAAAAGGGAGGTAGAGAGAAAACAGGGAATTATAGACCGGTGAGCCTAACATTGGCAATGGGGAAAATTCTCAAATCCATTGTCAAGGATTTTATAGCAGAGCATTTAGAAAGCAGTGGCAGGATCAGACAGAGTCAGCATAGATTTATGAAGGGGAAATCATGTTTGACAAATCTGTTGGAATTCTATGAAGCTGTAACTAGTAGAGTTGACAAGGGGGAAACAGTCGATGTAGTATATTTCGACTTTCAACAAGTGTTTGACAAAGTCCCACGTAAGTGACTATTGTGCTAGATTAAAGCGCATGGGATTGGGGGAAGTTTATTGAGATGGATAGGAAACTGATTGGCAGAGAGAAAACAAAGAGTAGGAATTAATGGGTCCTCTTCAAATTGGCAGGCAGTAACTAGTGGGGTGCCACAGGGATCAGTATTGGTTCCCCAGCTTTTCACAACATATATTAATGATTTGGATGACAGAACAAAATGTATGGTAGATGCAGGGAGAATGTTCCCAATGGTGGGTGTGTACAGAACCAGGAGTCACAGTCTGAGGATTCGGGGTAGACAAATTAGAACGGAGATGAGGGAACATTTCTTTATCCAAAGAGCGGAGAGCCTGTGGAATTCATTACTACAGGAAATAGTTGATGCCAAAACATCGAATGTATTCAAGAGATGACTAGATATAGCACTTGGGGCAAATGGTATCAGAGGCTACGGGAGAAAGCAGAGTTAGGCTATTGAGTTAGACAATCAGCCATGATCATGAAGAATGGCGGAGCAGGCTCGAAGGACCAAATGGCCTCCCCCTGCTCCTATCTTCTATGTTTCTATGAGACACTTCAGTTATGGGGAAATATTGGGGACATTGGGACTGTGTTCCTTGGAGAGGAGAAGGCAAAGATGAGATTTTATTGATATTTTCAACATCACAAGGGGTCTGGATAGAGTGGATACAAATAAACTGTTCCCATTTATAAATGAATTAAGAAGGGGACAGTTTTAAAGCATTTTACAAAAAAGCATGTGTGAGGTGAGGAAAAAAATAACATTTTCATATAACGAGTAGTTAAGGTATGAAAATACACTGCCTGGAAATGTGGTGGAGGCAGGTGCAACTGAGACATTCACAACGGTATGGTATGGTTATTTAAATAGAAACACTGGGAAAAGGCATGAAATTAGCACCAAACAGCTGGTGCAAAAGATGATAGGCCAAACTGGTTCCTTCTGCACTATATCAACTTGTGATTCTGTGATCTGGGGTAATATAAAGAGATGGAGTCTTAGCAGAATAGGTCTCTGTCCACTTCTTAATCTTTTGCACTCAGAGAACATGCATTGAATCACTATGCAGCAAAGGTTAGGAAAATCTGCCCCCAACATTGCGTACAGAACAGAATTTCCTTTCATAAATTCCCTTTCTTTTGACATTCTACTTTATCTGACAATACTTGCATTGCAAAACAAATGATAGGAAAACTGAGATTAAATTTTCGTTTTTACCATGCTGGACTCAGGAGGAAGATGTAGGTACAGAATTTGACAACAGAGACTGTGAGGTTCTTGAACAGATTGACATAGGGAGTGAGAAGTTATTGAAGGTTTTGACAGGCTTTAAAGTGGACAAGTCGACTGGTTTGGATGCGATGTGTCCCAAGCTACTGTGAGAAGCAAGGGAGGAAAGTCCAGGCTCCGACAAATTCTTAATTCTTCTTTGGCCACAGGGGAGATGCCAGAAGGACTCAAGGATAGTTAACATGATTCCAATTTTCAAAAAAGGGTGATTGAGATGAAGCAGGGAATTACAGACTAGTGAGTCTCACATCAATGGTAGTGAAACTATTAGAGAAAATTCTGAAAAAGACAAATAATCTCCATTTGGACAGGCAAAGTTTGATCAGGTAGTCAGCATGGCTTTGTAAGACGAAGGTCAAGCCTTAGAAATCTGATTGAATTTTGAGGTGATTGGAATGTTGATGAACATAGTGCATGATGGACCCAAAATTGGCTTCATGGTAGGAGACACAGGGAAGGGGTTAAACTCAGGTTAGCTTCCAGAGGAGTACCACAGGGATTAGTGCTGGGTCCCTAATTGTTTGTGATATATATAAATCACATAGATGAGAATGTTTGGGGCATGATAAATAAGTTTACGTGGTAATAAGTGAGTAAGGTCTTAGGTTACAGGAAGATACAGATGGTCTGTTCAGATGGTCAGATGAAACGGAATCCTGAAAAGTGCTGTCAAAACTTTGGTCAAGCCACATCTGGAGTAGTGTGTGCAGTTCTGGTCACCACACTATAGAATGGATGCAATTGCACTGGAGCAGGTTCACTAGGAGGTTGCCTGGGTTGGAGTCTTTTAGCTATGAAGGGAGGCTGGATAGGCTCAGGTTGTTTTCCTCCAAGCAGGCTGAGGGGGTGTCCTGATTGAGATGTATAAGATTATGAGGGGCATGGACAAGGTGGACAGGAAGCAACTGTTCTTCTTAGTTGAAGGGTCATTATTAATGAGGGATTTAAGATGAAGGACAGGAAGTTTAGAAGTAATTTGAGGAAATATGTTTTCACTAGAGGGATATAGGAATCTGGAATGCACTGTCCTGAGAGGGTAAGAGAGGCTGAAAAGCTCAAAATCTTTGTGGATGAGCACTTGAAGTGTCATAACACTCAAGGCTATGGGCCAAGTGCTACAAGTGTAGATAGTTCAGAGCACTCTCAATGGGCCAATTCTGTACTTGTATGATTCTATAAATACTTGCTAGTCTTTGCTAACAGATCAGTTACAACCCTATTTTTTGATGGTTTGTAATGTTAAAAAAACGCTGTGCATTCATCTCATTCTTCTTATGTCCCAAATCACCTTATTTTGGAATGTAGAAACTATACTCACTATAGTACTACAGGAAACACAGCAGCCAATTCGTACAAAGCAAGCTCTCACAATCAGCAATGTGATAATGTGAGCAGATAATCTGCTGGTACTGAACGTGGGATAAATACAGGCCCAGGACACTAATGTGAACACCTCCACTCTGCGATGTTGATCATTCTTATTGTGATCTAATGACTGCAGACTGCTGCCAGCTTTTAATGCATGGAAACAGCTGTATGTAAATTAAAAGAATGGAAAATCCTGTTGTTTTTACAGAGTCAGTGGGGGAAACTGAGCAGTGATGCACCTGACTGCATCTCTTCAAATCAAATATCAGTGTTTATATGCGCAGCCTTACAAACTCAAAATTTGTGTTCAACAATTTCAGATCTTTTTTTTTTGGTTTGGGCAGTAGTTGTTGGTGATGATTCTGCTTTTCGAAATACACCTTCTCTAGATACTTTTTTCCTTATTTGTCCCATTATCAGCCCACTTTATCTTGCGTTATCCTCCTGTTTCTCAATTAATTTATCATATTTTCTACCATATTACAAATGTTCCCGTGTTCATTCCTCCATCACCAATTTGCTTATCTCCATACTTGCTTTCAAACCTGCACCAGTTTTAAATTTTTCCAGTTCTGATGAAAGATTCTGAACATATTAACTCTGTTTTATCTCCCTCACAGATACTGATAATTTGCTGAATGTTTCCAGCAATTTCTGTTTCTAAATCCAATATGGTCATTATGCACAGGAAGTTCTCATGCAATGCACGTGTAAATGTTTATTGTCTCTTTCTGCAGTGCTCTTTAACCCGGATGCTAATGTGCATCACTAGCTATAGAAAAATAAATATTTTACCTACACTGTTTTTGGCATTGACATTCACTCCGTTCTTCAAAAGCAGTTCCATTCTGATCACGTTATTTCCCTTTGCTGCATCATGGAAATCCTGCTCTGACCGTAGTACTTCAGGAAAAGAAAACGAGGTAAAATGTTAGCATGACAGAGTCTTACAATAACCCAGCAGAACATCACAGCTAGCATGATAACACACACACTGTCTCTCTCCCCCCTTCATACATGCACGCACACACATTCCCTCTCTCTCTCTCTCTCACACACACTCACTCAGTCGCTCTCTCTCTCTCTCTCTCTCACAGACACACACATATGCGCGCACGTAAATCAATGGGTTGAATTTGCATTTGCAGATATATTTTATTTTGTTCAAAAAACACACAATTTGTAGACAGTCAATGTGGCATTTTATAAATTCCTACTTTGGACATAAAACCAGTCTGACTCCAAGTTGATACACAGCCAGATTCTAAACAAGGCCTCACACCTAAAATGCAACGTTTGACCTGGGATGTCACCGCTGGTATTATAGAGCATAGAGCATAGAACAGTACAGCACAGTACAGGCCCTTCGGCCCACAATGTTGTGCCGAACTTTTACCCTAATCCTAAAGTCTATCTAACTCCACCCCTACCTTAGGGAACTGATAAAACCTTTAGTTATCTTGGGGCAGTGACTTGAAAGGAATTCGGGAATTTGTATATTAATCCTACTAACTGATTAAAGATTTAACAGCCATCTTAGGTGTATTGAACACCCCATCAGTTCTATGACCCTTTGATCTTCTGCTTATAAATTGTGCATCCCAGCCACCCCTTTCACTGTCACCTGAAGGAGTGAGATTCTGAAAGCTTGTGTCTTCGAATAAACCCGTTGGACTATAACCTGGTGTCATGTGATTTTTGACCTTGTCCATCCCAGTCCAACACCAGCACCTCCATATTATTCGTAAGAGTTAACTCCGAGAGAATTTTTCCAATTGCAGAAGAATCTAAAATTAGGTCAGTAAAGGCAAGATCAACCCAATCGGGAAATAAGGGGAAATGTCTTTGTTTAAGAGAGTGAAGATGAGGCAAGTGGAATAGGAGGAGAGTTTATGGACAGCAGTGTGGATCATTTGTGCCAAATGATACGTACTTGTGTTGCAAATTCTCGATGGTTCGATGTATCAGCTCATACCAGCCAAAAATCTAATTCAATTTGTCTCTGCATTCATTACCATTTATTCCATTTATCCTACTTATTCCTCACTCTCCACCAGCCTTCACAAGGTACCCTGACTAATCCCACTGCTACCACGATGTCTACATGTACACACTTTATCCAGACTCTACACATACAACACTCTGTGCCTTCCCTATTAACTCAGCCTGGCTATTCCTGGACTTGAGAAACTACTGCACCTTTACCCTGTGCAAAATCCTTGTCTTTGGACGACTGTCAAAGAAACTATGATCTTATCGAATGGCCTACTCCTGCTCCTCATTTATGTGATGATATATGGCATGTCTCAAATTTGTGACCAGCTTTCCCACAACTCCATATTTGATCCTCTGTAATCCGATCTTGTCATACCACTTAAACAAACCTAACCCAAATCAAAAATGACATTCTATCCGTTTTAAGTACAAACATCTTTTATTCATATAAAATCTGTAACCTCTCGAGTCCCTTAAGGATCTATCCTTGACTCTTTCCTCTTTCTCCTCTATACGCTGTTTCTGATATCATGCACAAACTGGAGTCAGATATTTAATGACGACTGCCCAGGTCTATTTCACTCCTAACTTTCTTGACCCCTTCATTTTCTACCATAAGAAAATTAAGTTATCTAGCTAGACCACGGCCACACACTCCACACCTACAAACTGACTGCATCTTCTTCCACTCTCATAACTTCACTCTCTGATTTGTCCATGCTGAGCTTTCAACCATACACCCTATCCATTCCAAAGAATAGAGGAACACAGCAGAGGGGTCCCGACCTGAAACGTCAACTTTCCTGCTCCTCTGATGCTGCCTGGCCTGCTGTGTTCTTCCAGCTCCACACTGTTAGCTCAGACTACAGAATCGGCAGTTCATAGAATCATAGAATCCCTACAGTGTGGAAACAGACCCTTCAGCCCAACAAGTCCACACCGACTCTTGGAGCATCCCACCCAGACCCATCCCCCTATAACCCACACACCCTTGAACACTACGGGCAATTTAGCATGGCCAATTCACCTAGCCTGCACATCTTTGGACTGTGGGAGGAAACCGGAGCACCCAGAGGAAACCCACAAAGACACGGGGAGAATGTGCAAACTCCGCACAGACAGTTGCCCGAGGCTGGAATCGAACCCGGGTCCCTGGCGCTGTGAGGCAGCAGTCCTAATCACTGTGCCACCGTGCCGCCTTATAGTTCTTACTATATCATTCCAAAGAATGTCTACTTTTACTTCTGTAACATTGACTTAACTGTGCCTGAACCAATCTGAAACTGCTGCTGACACCCACATTCATACTTTTTTCACCTCCCAATAACATACTGGCCAACATCCTCCATCTCTATAAACACCAGTTATTGAAAAACTCTGCTCAACTTAAAATCATAGAATTTTACAGTACAGAAGGAAGCCCATTCGAACCTTCGTGTGTGTATCAGCTCTCGAAACAGGTACCCAGCTAGACCCATTCCCCAGCCCGATCTGCACAGCCCTCTAAATTTATCACGTTCAAAAGTATATCCAGCTCGCTTCTGAAACATTCTATGGAATCCACATCCACCACTCTCCCAAGCAGTCCATTCCAAATCCTAACAACTCTGAATAAAGAAGTTTCATCTCACTCCTAGTTCTCTTGCTGACAATCTTGAAATGTGAGCCCTAGTTACTGACATACCAGCTAGTTGAAACAGAATATCCTCCTTTACATTCTTTTCTTGTTGATAATTTTGAACACCTCTGCTCCAAGGAGAATAATCACAATTTCTCTCATCTTTTCTTATATCTAAAATTCCTCATTCCTAGCATCATTCGAGTAAATCTCATTTCATGTGCCCAGGGCTTTAACATCCTTCCTTAAAATAAAGGTGCCAGAACTGAACACAATACACCAAATTTAGTCTGACCAATGATTTGGAAAGGTGCAGCATCACTAGCTTGCTTTTATACTCTGTGCATCTATTTATAAATCCAAGGATCCTATCACCCTTCTTAACAACTGTTTCAACTTGCCTGGCCATCTTCAGAGAATCAGGCACGTGAACCCCAAGGTCCTTCTGCTCCTGTACTCCCCTAAAAGTTGTACTATTGAGCCTGCATTGTCTCTACAAACTTCTTCTACCAAAATGCACTACCTCACATTTCTCTGCATTGAAATTCATCTGCTAGGTGTCTGCTCATTTGGCCACCTTATCGATGTTTCTTTGAAGTCACTCAACATCATCCTCACAATCCACTATTCTCCCCTAGCTGAGTATCATTCACCAATTTAGAGATTTTGCCCTCAACACCCTTCTTCAAATTGTTTATATAAATCAGAAACAGCAAGGATTCCAACACCATTTTCAACTCATCTTCAATCTGAGAAATGCCCATTTATATCTACCCTGTTTCCTATCCTTTAGCCAACTTCTAATCCATGCTGCGATGTACCCATCAATCCCAAACATTTCTAATTTGTTGACCAACCTGCCATGTGGCACTGTACCAAATGCTTTCTGAAAGTCCAAATATACAACATCCACAGTGTTACCCTCAGCCACTGCCTGTGTCACCTGTCAAAGAACTCAATCAAATTTGTCAGATATGACCTGCCCTTAATAAAGCCATGTTGACTGTCAAGTATTAACTTATTTTTCTCTAAATGTTCATTTACCTTATCTTGTATCATGGCCTCCATCAGTTTTCCTAATAGTGACATCAAGCTGACAGGTCTGTAGTTTCCTGGATTATCCTTTACTCCTTTCTTAAACAACAGTGTCATATTTGCAACCAACCAGTCCTCCAGAACTAATCCTGTGTTCAGACAGGCCTGGAAAATTTCTGTCAAGGACTTGGCTATTTGCTCCCTTACTTTTCTCAGCAATCTAGGTCGCATCCCATCAGGCCTGGTGATTTCTCTACCTTTTTAGCACATCGTCTTTACCTATCACTATACTGCTTAGTTGCTCAACACCCACATTTTCAACTAAGACACTGTCATCATCTTCTAATTTGGTAAATACAGAAGCAAAATATTCATTTAGTATCTCTGCCATTTCCTTTGACTCAGTGAGCAGCTTACCCTGCTTGTTCCTATGGACCCCACTCTATCCTTCTTTAAGTATCAACATGTTTGAAGAACATTTTACTATTTGTTTTAGCATAACTCACCATCCTTTCTTCATGTTTCCTCGTAGCCTTCCTTATTCCAGCCTTAGCTTCTGTCCTACATTTGAGATACTGTTCCTGATTTCTATTGCTATTTTTATTCCAGTATTAATTTTCCTTATTTTCTCATCAATATCTTTTGTCATCCAGGATACTCTAGCTTCAGATACACCAGTTTTATTTCACATGGGTATGTACCTAGCCTGCACCCTATTCAACTCTCTTTTAAAATTCTCCCACTTTTCATCTACTGTTTATCCACCAAAATGCATTTCCAATCAACCTGCTCTGGTTCAAATTTAAGACCCTTAAAATCTTCACTTTTCCAGTCTGCAATCTTAATCATTTTATCCTTTTCCACGTTAATATTGAACATATTGTTGCTCACTATTTTCCAAATGCTCCCACACTCTGACATTCTCCACTCATTGCCTACCTCATTTCCTAGGATCCAGATCCAGCAAACTAGAGGACTGGAAATGTACTGTTCCAGAAAGTTCTCCAGCACACATTATAAGGCTTTCTCCCCACACTCTATCTTTTTCCCCAGTGCATCATAGGGCAATTGAAATCACCAACTATCACAACTTTACTTGTCCTGCAGATTTCCATAGTCTACCTACAAATGCTCCCTTCTACTTCCTCCCCACTATTTGTCAACAAGGTCACTGCTCCTTTCCTGTTTCTCACTTCCAACCATATAGATTGTAATTCATCAACTGCATTTCATTCGAGGGCAATGATCCCATCTCTAACCAAGTCCGTTACAGCTCCTCCTTTTTTGTCCACCCTGTTTCTACTAAAAGCCTTATACCCCAGGATGTTAAGTATCCAGTCCTGTTACGGCATGAACCACTTTTCTATCAATGCGCCTCCAGAGCAATTTCTGCTTCCAGTTCCCCAATTTTGTTCACTGTACTCCATGCACCTACACATACAATTTAACCCTGCCCTTATCTCTGCACAGTTTCACACTATATAACTGTATTCATTGTGCACCTCATCTGAAAATGCCCAGTGGAAGACTACAGAGTCTTAATTCAATACCAGGCTAAGTAATCCACACATCAGAATAATTAATATGAATACTGAACAATGATCCCAATTCCTGTAGGACATCATTACTGTCTGCAGCAGATGCAAACCCTTTTTTTAATTCATTAATATTATTCATTTTATTCATTAATGACTGCTTACTGACAACAGCCCTTCAGGTACTTCTCAATTCACCTTAATTATTATCATGGCTAACCCACCCAGCCTGTACATCCCTCAACACTACAGAACAATTTACCATGGCCAATTCACCTAACCTGCACCTCTTAAGACTGTGGGAGGAAACCAGAGCACCTGATGGAAATCACGCAGACGCAAAGAGAATGTGCAGACTCTACACAGACGATCACCCAATGCTAGAATCAAACTCAGGTCCCTGGCACACTGACTGAACCACTGTGCCGCTTTGGGTGTCATGGCACCAGGGGCCTGGGTTTGATTCCAGTCTTGGGTGATTGTCTGTGTGGAGTTTGCATGTTCTCTCCATATCTGCATGGGTTTCGGCCAGGTGCTCTGGTTTACTCCCTCAGTTCAAAGGCATTTAGGTTAGGTGGATTGTCTGTGGTAAATTGCTATGCAGTGTCCAAGGATGTGTAGGTTGAGTGGGTTAGCCATGGTAAATCTGCAGTTATGCAATTAGGGTCAGGGGGCTGGGTCCGGGTGGGATGTTCTTCAGACGGTCAGTACTGACTCGATGGGCAGAATAGCCTCTTGTTGCACTGTAGGGATTCTATGGTTACTAACATAAGAGGCACTGATCTTCAAGATATCTGCTTGCATACCCCAGCACCCTCTCCTAACTGACTTCATCAGATTCTTGGCTGTCCCTTCCACTGGACTGTCAAGTATTAATGCTCTGCATTTCTACTTCTGCCAGTCTGTACTTAAAACCCTTCCTGAGATCAACATTTGACTGGTGGCAACAATAGAAATAGGTGGAGTAATTGAAGAATAGTTGGAGCAGAACAGAAGTCAAGAACTACTTTGAATTGTCATACCCTCTGATAGAAAAAGGCCATTCAGCCCGCTGTCCCTGGTTTCTACAGTGAGCCCCATTCCTATATTTTTTGTCATAGACCTTTGAGATTTTATGTATTTTACTACACGAATACATTTTTTAAAATGGGAACATTATTGCCCTGGAGGTGAAATGTGGAACCGTTTTCTTGCAATTGATGAAATATTTGAGCAGCCAGCGACAATGGAAACAACAACATTTATATAAACTACATGCTTCAGAGAGGGTCCCACCGAAGTGAGGAACCCTAAGCGGGGACGGGACACCACACCACGCCCGCCCCACAATCCCAGCTACTCACGGCTCTCTCCGTCCGCCATTCCCGCCGGTCCGCCCCGCCCCCCGGGTCCAGCGCGAGGCGGCGCCTCAGCCCGAGTCCACCGCCCACGGAGTGACAGGCCCGAGGGAGGTAACGGGGGGCAGGGAGTACGCACCCGGGGAGTGACAGGCCCGAAAGGGATAAAGAGAGGAGTACACACCCGGGGAGTGACAGGCCCGAAAGGGGTAAGGGGGAGGATACACCCCTCCATCCCGTTAATTGTATTCCCCCATTGTTTTCCCTACTGCCCCTCTGTGCCCCACACACACACAGCCATCCCTCTCCGTCTCTCCCCACCATGTCACTCTGTCCCTGCAGTGACCCTCTCCACTACTATCTCTCACCGCCACCCCCTCCCCCTTATATCTCCAGTATCATAGAACATAGAGCATTACAGCGCAGTACAGGCCCTTCGGCCCTCGATGTTGCGCCGACCTGTGAAACCAATCTGAAGCCCATCTAACCTAAACTATTCC